GCCCTTCCAGGACGCGATGCACATGTCCCCCAGAACACTTGGCTGCAAGCCCACGCAGGGCCTGGACGTTGGTGAGCACTGTGGTGGGCTTCTTGTGCTGGACCTCATACTGGCACATGTGGAAGGAGACCTTGAAGACCTGGGGGAGCCCCATGAGGTCCACGACAGGCTTGAACTCCCAGAGACCCGACGACGAGGGATTCTCCAGGCTCCAGAGGACTCCACATCTAGAGGCCAAGACGCAGACCTCCACGGTGAAGAGGGCCAGCTCCACCGCCACCGCCTCCTTAGCGTAAGCCTTCCCAAGATTAGACACCCCTCGCCTCGCCACTGACCAGACCGTACATGGGGTACCCAAGTGGATATACCATATGAGGCCCGAGAGGATCCAGGACTTGATGAGGTTCTGAGTGCTTTTCCTGGTGAGGTCAAACCTCGCACCACGCTCCAGTTCGAACGGCGGCCCGACCCGCAGTCCGCGGGACCGGAGAGCACAAGTGAGGCCCGCTTCGCCGGCAAAGAGCTCGAGAGCCACGGTCTCCTGTACTGGAAAAGGCGCTCGGAGGTGTCGTCCACCGCCGGGCCGAGGGACCGAAGATGAGGCCGGGGGAGTGTCGGATCGCATGGTACATGATGTGGTATCTTCTGAAACTCCGACTGGGCCACCTGTCGACCCTCCCCCAGTCTCGTGCAGGCGCGAGCCGGCATCGGCAACATTGCGCTTGCTCTCGACGTGCCGTGAGTGCCAGCGGATCCGAGCAGCAATCTGGTAGCTAGCCGCCCGCCTCGCCAGCGCATTGAGGGCCCACGACTTCGCGCGGCCCTTCTCGAAGGCACAGATTGAGACCAGGTTGTCCCCGATAGAGGCGACCCGCCTCCCGTGGTTGTGGCGACTGCGCGTCGCTCGGCGAAGGCCGAAGAGGGACACGCGGCCTTCCTTGACATTGATGTGCTCCTCTGTCCAGCGCCAGCGCCCGACTCGAAGGTGCCTCCACCTTCGGACATCATCCCAGCAGCGGTCGATCGGGGGCACGGCGCTCGGGACCTCGACCTCCTCCTGCCTGGGCCGCGGCCGTGGATCCCGTGAGCGGCGCCCGACTCGAGGCCGGGAAAAAGGCCGCTCCTGGGCAGCTGCCTCCAGCGAGCGCCCATACTGCGTCTGCGGGCCGATGGCACAGGGTCGAGACCCTCGCACAGCAACGTCAGCATAGGCACCCTCAGGAAACTCCCACGACCCTCCAGGCGCGAGGCGGCCCCCCGCGTACTCGACCCACTCTGGACGAAGCAGCCCGACCTCGGGCAGTGAGTCGACGAGCTTGAATCGCCATCTCTCACGATAGCGGGTGAGGTCACGAAGCTCCGAGCTCGTCGCAGTGGTCGACAGCAAAGCGTACCCAAAGCTCGAGGAGTCGGAGCAGTACACCTCGTGGCTGAAGTCGGCCCCCAGGTCGTACTCGGACAGAAACAGCAGCCCCTGCACGAGCCGCATCTCATTCTTGATGGCCGGCGTGAGGCGGACGCGCCTCCCGCGCGCCGCCGCGACGAAGGGGTAGACCGCCTGCAAGCACGCCAAAGCCGGCCGAGACAGACTGAACAGGTTGACGACGTGCCCCAGCCAGATCTCCATGACGTTGCCGTGGATCCAGCGGCGCCGCCGCAGGGCGCGAGTGGCCAGGTAGACGCGCCAGGCGCGTCGCGGCACGTGGCGCAAGCACCTCCGCTTCCCGTCGAAGACCACTCCGAGGCTCTCGAAGACCACGCCGACCTCGGAGTCGACGTGGGTGCCGATGTGCGCCTCCTCCGCCGCGCGCCTGAACCTCTGGACCGAGTCGAGCGCGGTCTCGCGGTCGCCGGCGAGCGTGGTGAAGTTGTCCACGTACACGCCCGACACGGCCTGCCCCGCCCGCAGCACTGGGGCCGGCGTACGCTCGCGTACCAGCGAGCGGGGGCACACTGCGCTCTTAGAGGCCAGGTAGGAGACGGCCTCGTTCGCGAAGTGCAACGCCCACGCCCACCCCATGGCCATGCCGTGGAAAACAGGATAGACCACCTCAGAAGGCTCGACCGCCACGCGCCGACCCAGATCATCGTCATAGACCTGGGCAACTCCCCAGGCGCCCGCGGCCCGCGGGAGGTCGATCCCGAACCAGGACCCCAGCTCCTCGACCAGCATCTGGTAGAAGCAGTCGTCGACGTCGCTGGTGCCGCCCCAGATCTCCGCGATGCCGCCGAATCCCCCGAGGTCCCGCAGCGCGGTGTCCGAGAGGTCCAGCTCGCAGAAGCCCCCGACCGACCCCAACCGTGTCTTCGGGGGCGTCTTGTGGCAGCGGTTCGCCTGTCGGGCGTCAATGATGAGCCTGATCCACGCGGGGTCCTTCTTCTTGACGAAAAAGATGCCGACCTTCGCCTTGAGCCTCTTGCGGAAGCCGATGAGGTTGGCGTCCCTGAGGCGGTCCACGAGCTCGAAGAGGCTGTCGTGGTCCCTCGCCAGCTTCGGGTCCCAATACGGCCTAGGAAAAACCTGGGCCACCTGAGCTTCCAGTATCTGCTCCGCATCGCGCTCCACGCAATGCCTATAGTGCTTGATGAGGCCCGCCGTCTCGGGCGGCAAGAGCGTCTTTGCGTCCTTCGCCACGGTACCCGAGCGGCAGATCTTGAGCTTCGAGATGTCGTACTCAGCGAGGTTCTTCGGCTCCTGCGAGTACAGGTCCCTGGACGCAAGGAGCTCCGCGAGGGCTCCGTCCTCGTCCAGGTCTCGAGGCGGCGGGCCGTACGCCTTGACGCGCCGAGCGACGTGCTGCAGGACGTCGCATTGCAAGGGCGTCCCCCGCTCACCTCCGAATCGTCGCGTACTTGAGACGCTCGAGAAAGAAGTGGTTGCGGCAGCGAGCTGGTTGAGTGATCTAACCGCTTCACACTCTCGCTGATGCCGATGGAGCTGCTCACGCCGACGCTGCTGAACGTATCGAGGAGCGCCAGGAGAAGCCAAGCTCGGAGCCGCCGGCGACGGAAGCGGGAAGATCTCGCCATGCCGCCTCTGGCTGCAGAGTCGCCGCCGAACGCCGGCGCCTCCACGGTCAAAACTGTCGGCGGGGACGGACATGCTGAAGAGCCGCCCCAGCCACAAGGGAACTGACCACTGGGGTCAGTTCCCCGCCTGCTTGTCGTCCCCCTTTGGCCCGCCCTTCTTTGGAGGCTTCTTCGGGGGGGGATCATCGCCACCTTTGCCACTCTTGTAACGTTTGTCCTCATTGAGCCGCTCCTCACGAAGAAGACGAGACTGCTTGAGGGTCTGTGCACGCTCTCCCTGCATCTTGTAGATCCAGCCGCGGAAGCCTGCGCTGGCCGCCGCACCGCTCTCTGTAGTCGGGCCGCCCATGACCAGGTCCAGGCCGGCGTAGTCGGGATGCTTCGCGTTCCTCTCGACCGCCATCTCGATTTGGATCTGCCTGCGCACCAACTGCTCGAAGCACGCCAGGTTGGGTATGTTGAGCTGGTCCACCTGGTGGGCCAGCCGCAGGACCTCGGTGTTGTTGCGGTGCTCGTGAAGCGCCGCCGTACCGTCGCCAACACCACTGTCCTGCCTCCACTCACTCTCGTACACCACCATCGAGCCAGGCCCGTCGCGTATCGACTCCAAGTACTCCTTGGCCGCCCTTGGCGGCGGGAAAGGCCAGTCCTCGAACGTCTCCTCCGTGAAGAGATCGACCGCATCCGAGAGGGCCAAGTTCCGCTTCCCCCTCTTCCGATGCAGGCCGAGGATCCTCGAGTCGCCCTCCGAAGACTCTCGCTTCTCCTTCCAGTCGTCGACCTTGTCGTCCCTGACTCGCTCCACGAACCGCTTGGCTCCGAGCCAGTCCACGACGCCGAGGTTCCCGAGGCTGACAAACCTCTGTGCGTCCGCCAGCACCTCCTCGGGGACCTCCTTGCCGAACTGCTCGTCGTCGACCTGGTACACGACCCACTTTTGGACCTCGACGTCATCGAACTCGCCGTCCCCGAGGATCGCTGCCTGCACCTTCGCCTGTGCCCTGAACTCCTCCATCTCGGCGGCCGACACCGCGTCGTCGTCGAACACGTACGAGGCGGCCGCCACGTTGGCCGGGAAGGCCGCCCTCCTCGACAGCACCTTGTGCCTCTGGTCGTTGAGATCATGGATCTGCAGCTGCAAGTCGGGAGTGAGGCACACCCACCGACCGCCACTAATGCGATGTAACAGCACACGATGATGCCACACCAGCCCATTCGGATCATCTGGGTAGTGAACCAACACCTGCGCACACCGTGTGTCAAGCGTGGGCATCCCTCAGCTGCGCCGGTGTGGTGGGCCCCGCGCCGGCAGGCCGCCCCCCCGCCTCGAGAAAGGCGGGCCCAGTCGCTGCTGCCGCCGCCGCGCGCGGCCTCGCCGCCTCGGCTGGGCGCCGCCACGGGGCGCCGACGAGC